CCAATGGACCCACACTTGCTCATTGGATCTCATATGGACCTTAATGAACCTTATGGACGTAAGCCTTACCTTCTATCATAATCTCCAATATTTTTTCACCATCGGAGAACCTTAGGAAAACCTTATCTCCCCGTGCATCTCTGAATATCTTCCTCTTTCAAGCTGCATAAAGAATTTTGAACGATCTGTCTAAGCTGCTTTCTCAAATCGATCTCCTGACAAAATTTTGACCCTTTTCTCTGTACTCTGAAATCAATCCGGACCTAAACCATTCTTGCCCTCGCTCAATTTGACCAGACATAATGGAGCCTACATCTCCTAACCCATAGAGCGCTTCAAAAGGGGCCATTCTGAATACTCGACTGATAACTGTTTATTATAGGCGAATTCGATAAGTCCGAGATGTACTTCTCCCCAACTGCCGCTCAATCAATAACACAAGTTCCTTACAATAATTCCCTCTCAAAATCTGAATAACCCGCTCTGACCTGAACCATCTGTTCGAGGAGAAAAGCTGTGCTTGAAATTTCAAGCTGGTACCAGGCTCATGGTAGCTTCTTTCCAAAATCTAGAAGTAACTCTCGGATCTCTATCTGAAATGATTGGATGAAGGAACTCCAGTACTCTCACCTATTCTCATCTATATACAAGCTCTGCATACTGCTCCATGGTGAACATGGTCTTAAATAGGAAAGAAAGTGTGCGATTTAGTTAGTCTGTCAATCTATTACCCATACAACATCTTTCTTTTATGAGTTTAAAGGCATCCAGTCACAAAATTCCAATTGTAATCTTATCCCATTTCCACTCTGGAAAATAGCAGGGGTGTAACAAACCGGAAGGAAACCTGGTGCTTTCTGCTTTAACTTGCTGCTGGGCATGTCCAACACCTCGACACATATCTGTGATTCCCTCTTCATCGCCGGCTTCACCAATATTGTGATTTCAAATCCTGATAACATTTTATTAAGCTGCCAGGATCATAGCATATGGACTACAATGAGCTTCCCTGTTAAGATACTCTTTCTCAACTCTGAAAATTTTAGGCAACACAAATTCCTGTCCCCAAGTAACAAGCAGTCGTCATCTTAATCATAAATCTCTTTTTCTTTCCCTCTCTAGTTAGGTCTTTCCACAAGGCAACAAGTCTCATCATCCTTTTTGTGCATCTCGAATTGCTGAAGTAGGCTATGGTCTAATCGACAAGCTCTGCCACAAGTGCAACGCATTTACTACTAACCAGATGAATCGAGTATTCATGAGCCGTAAAAGCAACCAAGGATTTCCTACTAAGTGCAATCTGCTACGCACATTCGCTTTAACCTGGATGGTAATCAATGGTTAAAGTCCCATCAGTCTTTAAGCGTGCTCTAACCATCTACGTTGCTCAGATTAAGCTCCTGTTTGATGTAAGCAGATACTTGTGAACTCTTATGCATCCGATATAACAGATGACAATTTCTCAACCATATAAAGTAAATGCATCCAAATCTTCAAAGCGAAGACTATAGCTGCTAACTACTCAAACACACATACGGGCTAGTTCGTTTCTCATGTGGTGCACACACACACACACACAGACTACCTTACCTCCTGCATAAGCACACAACCCAACTCCATTATGCGAAGGCATCATATACACAATCATACGGTCTACCCGAAACTATGGCATGTGTCAACACTGGAGCCTCAGTAGCATCGCTTAAGCTTCTCAAAACTATTCTGACATTATCAGTCCACTCGAATCCTGACATCTTTTTGGAAGAATTCTAGTCAAAGGAGCTGCATGAGAGAAATCCCTTTATAAATCTTCTATAATAACCAGCCAATCTAAGAATACTCCGAATTCTCAATAGACATTTCCTTAGGTGGCTTTCTCATTGAAACCACTCCTCTATTCTTTTCTTTCGGATCAAACCTCTAAAAAACCCTCAGCAGAAATAATGTGACACCAAAAAGTAATCTCAGACCAACCAGAATCACACTTACTCCAACTTAGCATCAACTGTCTGCCTCTCTCAATATTTGCAGTACAAATTCCCTCAAATGGTGATTATGATCCCCTCTCTAGTCGAGAATTATACAAGATATCATCATGAACTACAAACTACACACTGATCTAAGTAAGGGAATGAAAAATCCGGTTCATCAAATCCATGAAAACTGCAAGGACGCATTCGTCACCCAAACGGCATTACCAAGAATTCATAGTGACACCATAACGGGTCCTAAAAGCAGTCTTTAGGTACATCTGATTCTCTTAAAACCCCCACAGCTGGTGATAACGCCGATCTCAGATCTATCTTTGAGAACACGCTAGCTTCCTCTCACTGATCAAACAAATCATCTATCCGAAGGCAAATGGGATATCGATTTTTTTCACTGTAACTTTATAAGTTTGTCTATAATCAATACACAATCTAAAGTGATCCCATCCTTCTTCTTTAAACAACAATACTGGCGCATCCCCATGGAGTACATAAGGCACGAAATGAACCCCTTATTCAAGTAAATCCTGAATCTGTATCTTTAACTCTTTCAACTCAGTAGGAGCACCGATATGGACCAATGGATATCCGGTGCAGTACAGGCATGACCTAATTACCAAACTCCAACCTTCTCTGAGCGAGGTAACCCAGGCAACTCTCTGGAAAATACATCCGAAAAATCACATACTATGGGTCTATCATGTACACCAGGGGATTCTGACTCTGGAGTAGTACAACAAGGCTAAGATGCCTCACAAAGCCATGCTGGACAGTCTTCCATAGCAGTGAGAAAGCAAGAAATAATGAATTAGGAGAGGTAATCCGAACCTCTTCCACCCACTAACTACAATCTCCTCACCAGATGATAGTCTGGAGTGTAAATCCCTCTTCAGTCTCAATCAATCATAACTTCCATGTCCTAGATAACCAATCCATACCCAATAACCCCCCATCAAACTCCCCGAAAGGTAACTCTAGTCATATCTTTCCCAAAATAACATGGCCCATATATTACTAATGGACAAGCTCTATACACCGCGATGAACTATCACACTATGACCCAGTGGATTAGTAACCTTCCAATACTATGCTCTAATATATCAGCATGCAATATTACCTCAATCTTACCACATGTATGCATAAATCTGAAATGCGTAGAGCCAGGATCAATCAAAAAGCATAATCAAAGATAGAGAATATACCAACTATAACGTCTGGGGCATCCTGCTCCTCCCTAGTCCTAATAGCATACGCTCTGGCAGGTGCTCTGGACTCAAGTTTGTCCACTGTCTCTGAAACTGGCCTTTGACTTCTAGAACCTACTATATCGCCATGGCCTCTGCCTCTTCCTCTCGGAATAAAGGAAGCTGACCTCCCGACCTGTGGAGCTGAACTAGCCAAAGTAGGGCAGTCTCAAATTATATGCTCAGTAGATCCACATCGAAAGCATGCCCCAGATAATCTCCTACAAACTCCAGGATGTCTCTGACCACAATGAGTACATGTCGGTAAATTGCTCCATTTGCTCCAGCAGTATCCTCCACCACTACAACAGATTGGTCTTTGACGCTGCTCAACATAAGGACCATGTCCCAGGGTCTCTGTATCCGGTCTAGACCCAGTCTGTGTGCACACCTCTATACCTTCTTACTGCTTAGACTGAGCCCCAGAAGTCTGTCCCAGAATGTCAATACCCTGAAAGCCTTTTTGTTGCCCTGCTGATTCCGTTGCCCGTCTAGCCTGTTGCCTCCATTCTAACTTCTTCAAGCTCTTAAAGCTTGCCTTTACCCAGAGAAGACATGGTTCTATGAGGATGAGCAATCCAGATGCATTCTATATTTCATCAATGCACCTCTACGAAAACGCTGCATCTATCTCTATCTGATTCAGTAGGAACCATCTCCACGGCATACCTGCTTAGCCGGATGAACTCTCTCTCATATTCAGACACAGTCATTTTGCCCTGTTTTAACTCTAAAAACTCAGCTTTACGTTGGTCCATGTACAGCTCCCTAATATATTTTTGTCTGAACTCAGACAGAAAGAATGCCCAAGTCCTCTTCTCTTTACTGACTGTCTGTGATACTGTTTCCCACCACTGATAAGCTTCCTCCCTTAATAACGAAGTGGCACAAACTAAACCATCTGAAGGTGAGCACTGCATCTGCTCTAATATCCTTTCCAAAGACTGGAGCCAATACTCGGCCGTAGAAGCCATATCGGCCGTAGAAGCCATATCATCCTTGCTACCCCTGAACTCAACAGCTCCATATTTTCTCAATTTCTCAATAGGGGGACGAACTGGAATAGGAGATGGAGCAACTGGAGCCTGGGGAACAGTTCCCGCTACTTGCCTCAAAGCAGCAACTAACTACTGAACAAACGTATCTTGGTTAGGCCCCGCAGGACCTGCAGCAGCCTGCCCCACTCTCGAGGCGTGCTCCGCATCAAAACCCACAGCACCACTAGCATCATGACCAACAGGAACACCACCACTATGAGGAACATAACTATCCACCTCCTCCTCAGAATGATGTTGAGACATCACTGAACTCCTACAAAGACCAAAAGGTTCGCATCAGAGAGAAGTTCCAAACCAAACTAATATGGCATATTTAACGTAACTTACTCTTACTCTAACTTCAAATCTATAAAGTCCTCGATATGCATATCGTCCTAGAATCGCCTAAACCTATGCTCTGATACCACTAAATGTAACACCCGCCGCCCAGTCCCGAGAGACCCGACGGTGGAAGTCACATTCGATGCCGGAGGCACCGTCTTAATCCTAGTATGAATTAGAGTGTTTAATATCCACTAAGTTTAACAAGTAGTTATTTTTTTTTTTTAAAAAAAATTGATTTGGGAGAAACATTACAGAAAAAACTGCAAGAGTTTACCCTAAACATAGACTTGACAAAAACAAGTGAATGCAAAACACTCCCATAACAACACAATAACACTTTTCTAATTTCATAACTACAACATTTTCGTATGCATTAATTAGATACATTTAGTTAAACATATTACTTTGAATGTTCTACACAATAAATAAGTCCAAGTTTATCTTCCAATAATTACACCCAATTAATTTACAATAGTAGACTTAAAGTATAAATTACATAATAGAGTCTCCAAAATGGACTACTTATACATGCCATAATACCTAATTACATAAAACACTAATCAACTACTAAAATATCGCTTCAGCTCTGATGCTACTCTTCTGGTCTTCAAACAGCAAATACAGACTTCAACCTACGCGTGATAAAATACGCGTGATAAAATCAACGCGCTGAGTATAAAACGCAGTGGTGCTTCATAAAACACAACAAAACCAAATGTTTTGGATGGCAACACACGTTAAAATATCAATTTTCATCAAAAGATTTACAATCATAAATATCATTCTGATGCTACTCTTTTGGTCTTCAATCAGCAATATAGACTCCAACCTACGCGTGATAAAATCAACACGCTGAGTATAAAACTCAGTGGTGCTCATTATTTGAAATTGTAGTACACCAATACATATACTGGTTATTTAGAAAACCATGTAACGTAATATCTTGCTTTGACAATTCATTTAATAACATATAATCATTTATTTCCAAGCTACTTGAAAAATATGTTTACAAGGGCTCACATACACTTAGAAGAAAAAGAATCAGATAGGTTTTCAGAACAGATTCAGAATGGCCTTAGGTCGCCAACAGATTCAGAACATATAGAGCGCGTCCGCCCTAACAGAACAGAAGACACCCAATCAGGGCACCGCCCTAACACAAGACACCCACGTGCCTAGCATATGATCATAGCTTCTTATCATAATGGCATCAAATGCTGAGCATGCTCATCATACATAATAAAATCAATTCACGCATCAAATTCACACAAAGTATATTACAGCCCAAAATCCTTGTTTTAATTCTTACTTCTTAACATTTCTCATAAAATTTATTTTCTGTAGTATTCATAAAATCATAATGAAAACTGAATTTAAACTAAAGTAATTCATGAAAATTCTCATACTTAAACAAAATTACTTAACATAGGAAATTTCCAGCATAAAAGCAATCTTGACCTTTGCTGGGTTTTTGACCTTTGATGGGTTTTTAAGACATAACTTGAATTATATGTCTCCAAATTGAATGAAATTAGATTCATTAGAAAGCTAAGACAAAATGCTACAAATTTGATGAAGGGACTAGAGCCCAGATCAATCTATAAGGTAGAAAAAAAAAGCTAGGAACACAGACCAACAGTCCAGACCTGATTCAGCAGACCCAAGTCCAATGTTTATTGAATTCCTCCTTAATAAAACACTCAAATTAAATCAATCTAAAACCAGAGAAGTCTCAAGACACAGTGAAACAACTCTCATGAAGAGCTCAGAACATAATCTTGCCATTATAGTGGCAAAATATCACTCCAATCTATTGCTGCAGTTACAACAGAGTCAGTTTAGGTGTTTTAGTCATAAGCTGAGCTATATATATCAAAATTGGACACAAGAGGATGGGTTGGAAAGCTAAGAAGTATACCCACAACTTTTATGAAGGGCTCAAATACAGAGGGAAAATAAAACGAATAGAATAAAACGAATAGAAAAACAGTCCTTAAACACACCCATTAACATTTTCCCTTGCCTCTCTTGGAAGAAGAAGAGGAAAATGTTTTCCACTTCAATCAAACATGTGATCATGCTTAGAAATCACCCAAGAGCATGTTTATACAACCAAGGTTCGATAATTCAAATCATTTCATACAAAATCTAAAATATACACATAATAGCATAAATGCACAAAATAAAGAATTGAAGTAAGGTTAGTGTGTTTATGAACACTAACCTTAAACACAAGGTTTAACAAGCTTAAATCAAACTCTTTAAGCCATTGCTTTGCCTTTCTCTTCGCTGGAAGGTTCTCCACCCTCTAAGTGTAAGAAACTCAAAATCAAAACAAAGAAAACAAATAACAGAAGAAATTGGAGCATGATTAAGCATGTATATGCTAAAAGAAAAAATGCCACATTCGGTGCTGGAGGCACCGTCTTAACTTAACATATAAATGATAAAATTTAAATATTATGAATTAGAAGTAATTGAGTATTCACAAGTTTAGTGAGTAATTTTTTTTTATATAATAGAAATTTCATTTCATTTTCTTATTTTTTTATCAAGTTTAATGGTGTAAATTTGGTGAGTTTACCATGTAGAAATTGAAGGAAAAACAAAAAGAAGAAGGGAGAGGAAGTTCACGTTGGAAATGGAGGAGGAGAAGAAAAAGAAGAAGTGTTGCTCAATTATTTGAGCAACAAGGGTAGTTTAGTATTTTCACCATAATTGGATGGCTAGGATTGAATCAATCTAATGGCTAAAAATTATTCTCCAATTAATGTCCTTCAAAATATTATTTATCTCCATAAAAAGTCTCAAATTTAATCCTTAAAAATAATTCTTCTAATTTCCTTAATTAATATAACACCATCTCAAATTTAATCCTTAAAAATATTGCCTCTAATTTCCTAAATTAATATAACACCATAATTAACTATTCTCTAATTATCTAAATTCTCCCAAAAATATTCATTACTTACTTTCTACCCATAAAAATAATGTATACATACTCCAAAAATATTAAAGAAAATATTAAACATACATAGTAATTTTAAAATTTTCTGCGACCAAATAATACCGCTCCAAAATAATACCGACTCCCGGACCGACAGTACTATTCACAGACAGATAAACTACTATTTCAACACAGGAAAAATAGGGCATTACAGGTGGAGAGATAATCATGGTTGGATTAGGATAATGGAATCCTAGTTTATCTGTTAGTTAGAGTTTTATTTGGGAATCTACTACCTTTTATTTTTATTTTTAATATATATTATTATTGTATAATAACACTAGTCTCCTCATTAGTTATTTAGTCATTTTATATCCAAATGTATTATTGTATGTATTTATGTATATTTATTATTCATTATATATATATATTATATATATACATTCTGTGAAAGCTGTCGAGAAAGGACAGCTTGTTTTGAGGAAAGGGAAGCATCGTGTTCGTTCATATACTATTCTGTGAAAGCTGTCGAGAAAGGACAGCTTCGTTTTGAGGAAAGGAAGCATCGGTTCGTCCGTTGAGGGGTACTTTGAGAATTGCTTCATTTAATGTGGTGACTCTTCAGTACCTCGCCTCATCTATATAAGGCTCTCCTCCCATTTCATTTGCCTCACTTATTGCTTCTTGATTGTCAGAGCCTCTCCCTCTAGAACTTTCTCTCTCTAACCTATCCAAGTAAGTTTTTACATTTTAGCTCTTTCTTTTTTTTTTCTTTTTCATTAGTTAGGACTATGAGTTCTTCCAGTGAAGAGAATGTCCAAATATCGCTTGATCAATCAGGCAATGAGAATACCGAGGATATAGATTCGGGGGTAGGCGAGGCCAATAGTAGAAAAGAGAATGTTAGGATTGCCGAAGTGCCTTTTGACAATAATAAGGGCGAACTATGGGACATATGTTTCATGTACAGTATTACACCAGAATACAAATTGATTAGGCCTTCAGAAGCCATGAGGGTAACTGAGCTACTAGATGAAGACTCCATCATGATATATAAGGAAAGCTTCCAATTTTGTGGTTTGATTTCCTTTGTTTGTGCCTCTCAGATCATTTTTCAATGATTACATCACCATTAGTCAATTACACCCTAACAGTTTGAGACTCTTATGTGGTCTAATAGCGTTGGCTCGCCAAGCTAGACATATTTTAATAGCTCGGGCAGTTCGAGAACTCTATCACTTCTCGGTTCGCCCTAAGGAGGATCATTGTTTTCTCTTGGCGAAGAAAGAATACAATGTTTTCTCCAAGAGTCCCAAGATTTCCTATTTAAAGAACTGGAAATCTAAATTTTTCATTGTTAAATGACCAGGAGGTTTAGAGTGCCGAAATCAGTGGTTGGAAGATCCACTTCGCCATCTTCCTGCTTCACCCACCCCCTATGATCGGATTTGTATGGAGTTAATAAAAGCTAAAGGGTTGAGGTCTGTTAACCTAAAGCGGTTGATTGCTAATGGTTATCCGACTTGCTAGCCTAGCGGACCTATTAGGCCCAAACCTTCCCCTATTGGTAAATATTTTCCTTAGTCGTATTTCATCTTTGATCTTTACACTGACAGTTTTTAATTTTTGTTTTTCTTTTTATGTAGGTATGGCTCCAAAAACGGTGAAGAGTTCTAAACTTTCAAAAGCGGCTGAGGCGATGAGGAAAAAATCAAACAAAGGTAGTTTGGAGAAGGGGGCATAGTCTAGCGAACCAGGGGTGACTCTAGAGACTCCTCAAGTCGAGCGCACTTCTACTAATCCTCCCATCGAACCGAGCTGTAAGAGGCCAAGAGATGCATCCATCCCAGTTTCTCCTCCTCCTCCTCGAGCTGGCGAAGTGTTGGACATCTGAGTTTACTTTATGAGCAAGTACAGGGCTAACTGTAGTTTACAATCTAATGCACCGTGAGATGGCTCGTCATTGCCTATTTCCTATTGATGCACATTTCTTGACTTCATGGATGACTTAACGAGGAAGGATTTTATAAATCAGAGTCTTTTCTAAGCCTTAAATGCCAATAATATTAACTCTGCTAGGATAACCAAGCTAAAGGGCTCTTATACTGATGTGGAGGTGAAGAAGATTCAAACAGAGGATGCATTAGAAAGTGCTGAAGTATCTATGAGGGAGCAAGAGACTCAACATAAAGCAGGGTTGGCCGCTCGTGATGCCGATCTAGAGAAGTTGAAGGAGGAGAACTGTGACTTGTTAAATAAGAATAAAGATCTTGAGGATAAGGTAAAGGGGATGGAGGAGGAACTATAAGGGCTTTAGGACCAGGAGGGGTCTATGGCAGAGGATCTGACGAAGGCGTGTCTGAGCTTTTAGGAAGAATGTTCTAATCGAGCTATAGACTAGGCACCTTGATTTAACTTGGAGTTAGGTGAACAATATATATCATGATGAGGATAAGGGGGAGGAAGATGTTGAAGGTGACAATACCACACAGGATCGTAATGTTGGTGGTTCGCCCACTCCAAGGATAGATATTGATGTGTCAGTCGACTTCCACCCTATTTCTTCTGAAAGGCAAGGCACAATTGAGGATATACCTTCTGGGCAAGATGTTTTTTTATAACTTATCCTCTTGTAGTAGAATTTTGAACATGACCTGTGTAAACCCTTTTGCCTTTATGTTGATGAAGGGAAGTTTTCTACGTATCATTTATGTGTTGTGCTTTTCGCTTTTATACTCCTAAGTATTTTTCTGATGTTGAATATTTATTTATGCATAAAGATGCATGTCAGATTGGCGAACTATGTATGTATAATAATGTATTTCCTAACGTCGAGTAAGGACTACTTAAGTTTACTTTGGCGAGTTATTTGTGTCCGAACTACTAGACTGAGGTAAAGGACTACCTAAGTCCATATGGCGAACTAGATATG